CATCAATATAACATGGGGTAGGTCTGGGTTAGACCACTAGGAGGCGCCTTCTGGCCCATATATATCCGCATCTCACATTGACGCTAAAGGGTGCCATGTGTGTTGGATGTATACGCATTGGCAAAAGCGTCGTATATGATGCCTTGGGATGAGTACGGACTGGCTGTTTTTACAAAATTTCACAAAAATCTCAAAAAAAAAAATACGACGCAGAATAAATAAACATTAAAATGTACAAAATGTATCTTCTGGGAAAATCAACCAAACATGTTTGCATTGTGTCTTACAAATTTTCCATTTTTCAATTCACAATTGAACAATTGAATTATCATAGCCAAATTTGAGAATGCCCCTCCCTGTGGTATCACCTGTCGACCCGACAATCAAATATTGCACAATTCTTGGGGGTTTTAGTAAGAGATTCTTGTAAAGATGAATGATTGTGAACACAAACACTCAGTGTGAGGTCTAGGGATCATCATACCAGAGTGCATTAGTTTTGATGTTTAGTAAAATGAAAGATGTGAACTGGGAGAGAAGGTCCACAGAGGAACTGTCTGCGCATCAACTAAAAGCAGTCATGTTGTTTATTACAGAGTCTCGGTAGTTTCAGTCTCCATTTGTTAATGACAATTACCCTTAAAGCCTCAGGCATTGTAGAGATGAATAAAATACCGTGGTCACTCCCTAGGGAGGGTTTGGAAGTACAGCCGTGGTCCATTTCATCTGCAAATAGACGTTGACTCCCATAGGAGTTTTACTGTAAGGGTAAGTTTATTTGCATTTGTTTGAGTCCACGATGCTTTGAAAGAGACGTTTGTGTGCCGTCGAGTTTCGAAGTTTGAAATAGTCTCATCGATTAGCCTCCAAATTCCTCACTGGCCTCTCGGCATATCTCTCCGAGTGTCATTTTAAGCGAGGGATGGGCTGCGGAGAAAGACATGGTGAAAAGGGAGATTATTTAAGGAGAGTTAATGAAAAAGTCCTTGAGATGTACGGTGGGTTGTCAGCGAGAGCTGTGATAGATTGAGCCTCGCTGTTATTAGCATGCGCGCGGCAGACTTTTACGCCTAGACCCGGGCCATTTGTTGATTAATTAATCAGGTAATGTACAGTATCGGAGGGACAAAAGTGGAAAGTTTGGAACCAAAAGAGAATATCTCCCACATTCCCGTGTTGGATCCAGGAGTCGTTTGAGAAATGTGCCTGTGTAAAGTAGAACAATAAACATATTTGGGGAAAAGGGTTTCCCATTTCATGAATAAATTCAATCCAGAGGCACAAAATCAACCCCGTCTGAGGTAATTCTGTTGAGTTTGGGGGGGGGATGTGTTCTTGGGGTCTCCAGTGAACCTTGGCAAGAGAGTTAAGAATATAAACATGGGGTTACGGTGGTTAGTATGCTGTCGAAATCAGATTGATGGCTTGTGCCATCACGCTACTGACTTCTGAAGAGAGTTTTTGTTTGGTAATCAAATTTTCATAATCAATGTGCATGCAACATTTCAATGGAGGCGTCACGAGAAAGCAACTTAGTCAATGACAATGATTACTTTCATTGAATGGAAATGTACTTTTATTGGAGGCACTTATTCATATTGTCGCCCCACGGATTTGTACTCTCTGTTATTGTGCAAAATTTGATTATCACCCCCGGGCAATTCTGTTTACTGTATAAGACCCACACACGAATTAAGTGTGGGATTGGAAACGTATGTTGCGAGTCTTGCTTTGACTGGAAGACTGACCACAATCTACTTCCCTCGAGCCAAAGCTACTAGTGTGCAGGAAATGACATCACTCAGAAGCACAGTATTTTGAGACGTCGTCCTCATGCCTCGAAGCTCTTTTGAATCCCAAAGGGCAAGTGTTGATAACCACACAGTGTTGTTTCATTGACTGAGAAGCCTGTCTATACCACATCCTGTCCGAAGGCAGCACAAGTGTGGCCATTTAAGATTTCAATCAGGAAGGGACAAAGGTTGAGGAAGTTAGTCGAGTAATGTCTTTGGGGAATGATAACACACATGTATATGTGTACAACATCTCAAAAGTGCTGTTTCCTGGTAATCCCTTGACAAAGGCAATGCTAACCAGGGTAATAGTTAATAGTATTCAGTAACACTTCCTTTTATAGTCCTGTTGCCCATGTACATATGTACTTATTATAGTAATTACAATTACTGGGTAATAACTAGGTAGTAACCCTGAACCTACCCCTATCACATGTACTTACCTTATATTAGCCAGTACTTTCTAGGTACAGTAAGTATTGTAAAAAAAATATATTCAAGATTTGTTATCACAACATTTTTTCTTTTGTCAAATCAACTTTATAATAATTTATTTAGTTGAGATAACTTATTATTTTGAGTTTCTGATGATTAAATGAATCTCCTTCATTGTATTAACTCACTTTTTCCAGTTCAATCAACTTAAAATTTTAAGGCAACCCAGGTTACTTACTTTTTTTAAGTTAAACCAACAATATTTTTTTACAGTGCATAAGTACACGTAAGGACTGTACTGTAAAAGAAAGCGTTACCGTATATTCTCAAGTCAATGAAAGTTAAACTCGATCTGGCATAGGGTATCACATTTACCTTTGTACGATGAAGTTGTTCCTCAGGCAAACTGTTGATCTTTGAATATGTGAATTCGTCTTGTTTATCAATATAAATCTGCCGAGTTTGGAAGTTGGGTTTCATACATCGCTACACTATTGTCTATGGACCTTCTTTACTCACAAAATGTTGTTGAATTTTGTTTACCTTTTCATTAATGTGATTGTGAACACACCTTTATGTTGATTACCAAAGAAACAAATACAATTTAACTTGACCTTCATTTTAATTTAAGAAAAAAGGCTTGTGGTGTTTTGTTATGGCCAATTGGATGTACAGTAGTTTTAGACAGACAATGTTAGTAAGCAGTTTTACACATTAAAATCGTGTTAACATGCACATTTGTTTGTCTTGTGGCTAAACTATTGAAACAGTGTGTATTTTAACTAATATGAGTATTGTGATTAATCACATCTAACAAAAGTTTTTGTATGTATATATATATATATATATATATATATATATATATATTAGGGATATATATTATATTAGGGCTGTCAAACGATTAATCACTATTAATCGCATCCAAAATAAAAGTTTGTGTTTACATAATATTTGTGGGTGCACTGTGTATAATTATTTATACAATAAAAATACACACACATGCATGTATATTTAAGAAAAAAAGTATTATTTATATATAAAATATTTATATTTATATATTATAAATTATATATAAATTTATATACACTATATACACTCACCGGCCACTTTATTAGGTACCCCATGCTAGTAACGGGTTGGACCCCCTTTTGCCTTCAGAACTGCCTCAATTCTTCGTGGCATAGATTCAACAAGGTGCTGGAAGCATTCCTCAGGGAGTTTGGTCCATATTGACATGATGGCATCACACAGTTGCCGCAGATTTGTCGGCTGCACATCCATGATGCGAATATCCCGTTCCACCACATCCCAAAGATGCTCTATTGGATTGAGATCTGGTGACTGTGGAGGCCATTTGAGTACAGCGAACTCATTGTCATGTTCAAGAAACCAGTCTGAGATGATTCCAGCTTTATGACATGGCGCATTATCCTGCTGAAAGTAGCCATCAGAAGTTGGGTACATTGTGGTCATAAAGGGATGGACATGGTCAGCAACAATACTCAGGTAGGCTGTGGCGTTGCAACGATGCTCAATTGGTACCAAGGGGCCCAAAGAGTGCCAAGAAAATATTCCCCACACCATGACACCACCACCACCAGCCTGAACCGTTGATACAAGGCAGGATGGATCCATGCTTTCATGTTGTAGACGCCAAATTCTGACCCTACCATCCGAATGTCGCAGCAGAAATCGAGACTCATCAGACCAGGCAACGTTTTTCCAATCTTCTATTGTCCAATTTCGATGAGCTTGTGCAAATTGTAGCCTCAGTTTCCTGTTCTTAGCTGAAAGGAGTGGCACCCGGTGTGGTCTTCTGCTGCTGTAGCCCATCTGCCTCAAAGTTCGACGTACTGTGCGTTCAGAGATGCTCTTCTGCCCACCTTGGTTGTAACAGGTGGTTATTTGAGTCACTGTTGCCCTTCTATCAGCTCGAACCAGTCTGGCCATTCTCCTCTGACCTCTGGCATCAACAAGGCATTTCCGCCCACAGAACTGCCTCTCACTGGATGTTTTTTCTTTTTCGGACCATTCTCTGTAAACCCTAGAGATGGTTGTGCGTGAAAATCCCAGTAGATTAGCAGTTTCTGAAATACTCAGACCAGCCCTTCTGGCACCAACAATCATGCCACGTTCAAAGTCACTCAAATCACCTTTCTTCCCCATACTGATGCTCGGTTTGAACTGCAGGAGATTGTCTTGACCATGTCTACATGCCTAAATGCACTGAGTTGCCGCCATGTGATTGGCTGCTTAGAAATTAAGTGTTAACGAGCAGTTGGACAGGTGTACCTAATAAAGTGGCCGGTGAGTGTATATATATATGAAAATATATCTTAAATATATACAAGCAGGTGTGTATATATATAAAATAATTATACACAGTGCACCCACAAATATTATGTAAACACATTGTTTGGATCACATCGTTTGACACCCCCTAATATATATATATATATATATATTACAGTAGTATTATTTAAGATACCTGCTCCTCTTTTTTTATTTTATTTTTAAGATTAGATAATACTGTTTATATTGCAGACTTATTGACAAAATGGAAGGGATGCGTTGAATCTAAAGTTGTCATACTTGGCCGTTCCTCTTTTTGATACGTCAAGTATTCTGACAGTTTAATTTCCTCCAGGTATTCCAGTGCTCATATTGAAACGCGGAACAAAGAAAGAAAGGTTTACTCCTTTAACCATCTCAAACACAAACAATCTAGAAGTCCATCTCAATTCATCCCACACTCTGTCTCTGCCGCCACAGGTTTGGCAAAAACCGCAAAGACGAGAGGCAAGGAGACAAGATGGAGCGGAAGGGGTCCGGCAAGAGCAAGATGGAGGAGACTCAGGCCACCGACGAGGAGATGCGGAGAATGAGGCTAGAACAGGAGAG